CCCCCCCCCCCCCCAGCACCATTTCTCCGCTAAGAAAAATTGCAATGGTTTTGGCAATTGTTTTTCTTTTTAAATGTGCAGCCAGCGATCGTGCGTGAATTTCCCTCCCGCTCTCTGGCTGTGAGTAATGTGTGGCCCTTCAATTGCGTGGAAAATTGAATTTTGCTGCAAAATGGCTGCAATTTATGAGCAGTCGGGAGATGGGCATAGAATATACATTGGGAGTGAGCAGTTTGCCATTTGCATGGAGCTGCGTTTTATTTGTCCAAGGCACATCAGCAGAATCAGCAGCTGCTGGCCACTTAGTGCAAACAAATGGGGGAAGATGCAGCTGCCAGCACTTTGCAGTCAAGCAAATAAACAAGCAATGCAGGCCCTGACAGGACACGCAACAAACTCGAGGACTGCCTGCCACACAGTCTTCAAGGGGAAGCCTTTTTTCCATTTCAATTTCCTGCACGATTGCGCCTGATTTTTGCGGTCTTCCTTAATCGGTTCCTGCGGTTATTGGCAGGCCCACAGGAGAGGCCCAACAATCCATCAAAAAGTGTCTTGTGCTCCTTTCAATGTTGCATGTTACTCATACGATAAATCCCTGCTGCCCCATGCCTCTGTGTGGCGAGTGCAGTACGTGCTGTAAGTGGCAATTGCCACAAGACCCTGGCTGTTAATTAAAAATGTTGCCAGCAATTTCCTTTACAAGTTAGCAAACGTCTTGGGGATAGCCCCAGCGAAGATTTATACCAGCTAATGGGTTGCTTGTCTGCCGCTGCCGCTGTCCCTGCGGTCGGCCACAAGAATTTCAATTTGCCCAAGAAATTGCGGCCGCCAAGGCGCCCCACACCCCCCCTCCCTGTGTGTCAGTTCTATTGGCGAAAAAGGGTCGAACGATTGCCCTGCATGGACTTCAGCTTCAGTTGGCAGCTAATCCTTGACTTTGGCTTCGCCTTCGACCACAATTTACAGCACGGCTGCAGCTCATAAATCTCCCCGAGTGGAAAATTGCTCAATTTATAACATTTGCCAAGGTGTTGATTGCACTCGAAGCCATTCGAAAGTGTTGCCAACTGATTGGACGCCATATAAAAAGGGGGGGTGATGGGAGTGCTGCTGCTCCTGCCACTTATTAATTTGTTTATGCGACTCTAATCACTCACACTCCATACGAGAGACACAATCCCAGTGGCAGCTCTAAGCCGCAGATCAGCTACGAAAGCAAACTTCACATTCCACGCATGTCGTGGCCTGTGGCTCCCGCTCTCTGTCCCTCTCTCTCCCCCAGACAGTCAACAACAAATGTTCGAAAAATTTGTTAACATCAAAAAGTACATTAAAGGCTCAGGGAATGCGCTTTCGTGCGGAAATTGCTTACGTGCGTGGCATTAACAAATGACATGCCGCATGCCTCCGCATACTCTCAGTATAAGACTCGTGCTCTTTGGGGGTGCGTCCTGCCACAGACAACATCCACGCGGTGGAACTTGTCGCTGTGTCGCCGTTGCCTCAGCCATTGGCCATCGCTGGTGGATTTGTGGCGCTCTCTGGCCACTGCGCATGCCACTGACGGCAACAAGTGTGGGGAGTTTGCCACAGGCAGACTGCCATTCAGCGTGGCTGTTGCTGGAGTGTAGAGTTTTCTTCCCTCTGCCCCTTGCTTCTCTGACTGACACTCGACTGATGGCTCACGTAGCCAGGCCAGAGTTGAAGCCACTTCACAAGAAATATAATTAAAAATTGAACACACACAGCGGGTGGCACGGACGCGGATAAATGACACTCGTTGGCCATGGAATGCAATGCCATCGCCGACTCTTTGCCACACACACACACAGCACGACGACATGTCAGCCAGTCATCTTTAGCTGCTCAGTTTACAGCACGAAAAGCAACAAAGGCAGCCAAAAGGCAGCACGAAGCACCCACAGCAGGAGCTACATTTCGCCTGCAGCTGCTTAAATAATTTTCGCTTGCTGCTGGGATATAAAATGTCAATAAGCTCCAATAACGCAATTGACAAGCTGAGACAGCAGCCGTTCAGGCAACTCCACTGTGGCAACAATAAACGTGAAATGACACGAAGGCAGCAGGTATCTCGGGGCAAGGGGCATGGGGCAAGGGTTATGGCAGTGCCCATTCAGCCGTGCACTAACTTCCAGCATCGACATCTCGCGCGTTGCCTCAAGACACAACCAAGATGAAGTAATTTCAAGCTTAAAGAAGCGCCAAATTGATTACGGAACCAGGCACAAATTTTTATTGGGGGGAAAACTCTCTTCAGAGACGCGCCTCTTGTTGCTTTTTCTTCCTGTTCGATTTCTGCGTGTTTGAGGAGCTGGAGCTGGAGGATGCGCCACCAGCTGGGAGTTCACACATCTCCTCGGAGGAGCGGCCAAGCACTATGCGCCGGCTCGACTTTGGAGTGCGTTCGAGAGATTTCTCCAGGGAGGGACGTGGCGTGGTGCGCAAACTGGAGACAGGAGTGCCCGCCGTAATGGGTTTCTTGTTGTTCCACACGCAGAGCACGAATCGAATCTCCTTCCTGAATGCCAACTTGAATGTGAGCTGTGGGTAGGGAGGAGAGACAAACTGTTAGAGTAGCAAAAGGCAGAGAGAGGGAGACACCGCTCACCCGCTCCTCGAGTGCCACCTGCTGCACGTAGACCAGAAACTCGGTGATGCCAATGAGAAAGGCTATCAGCAGGCCCATGTACAGTGTGTAGAATATGCCGCGCAGCTCCTCGAATGTCATGTCGGGCGTGGCATCCGGATCGGGCTCCTCGAAGCACGAGGAATTTGGATTTTTCCACCACTTTTGCTTCAGATCGTACAGCTGTCCGCGCTCGCTCAAGTGGAGAATGGCGACGCTCAGATTGGAGCGATACTCCGCACCGAAGGGCACAGCAATGGCGTAATGTTTCTCCCCGAATTTCTCACCCACAGAGCGCAAATCGCAGTGCTGCTCGCGATGATACTCCAGGGTGGTTGTCTCCATCAGGAACATGTAGTCACCGCGATTCTTTTGCACGCGATCCACGCCCTCTGCATTGTCCTTTGTGTAGGCCGAGGGATCGTCGTTGTTCATCAGGTTGAAGGCCAGGCGGTAGGTTGTCTCATTGGAGTCGGCCAGCAGGTTGTAGGTGCTGCCGCCGTAGATGGTGCCGAAGTGCACCTCCTTTTGGCCACTCAAATCCTTGAGATTGGCAATGCTGCCCTCCATCTTGGAGCTGGTGAGAAAGGCAGCCAGATTGGCGGTGTACGAGTTGGCTATGATGATGGCAAAGATCCACCAAGTGGCCTCGAACATGCGCACCTGCGGACTGCGCGGCAAAATGTCACAGCCTGCCGTCATAATGGATGCCACCGTCAGCCAGAAGGTGTTGTTCAGATGCCACTGATTCTCGAGCACTTCGGGATCGCGATTGCACGGATGTGGATTCTCCCACTCGGTCTTGGCAATGCGCGCCATTATGGCTTTTAGGAAGGTCATCACAAACACAGAAATCAATATCCAGATCCAAACTTCACCGCCAAAGGGCTGCAGATAGGCATCCAAAGCCTTCACCTTGTGCGGGCTCTTGTAAGCGAGAATGCTAACTCCCAGCTGCATGAAGGGCACCGTAAAGTCCACAGCGGTGCGACGAGCCTGCGTGATGGTCAGATCACAGATGCCCATGTGAGCGTCCTGAAGAGAGGGAAGAGAAGAGAAATCAGTTGCTGCATGGGCAGGGGACTTCCACTCACATTATTAATTATCTCCCCAATGATGCCATTCCACTGCTTCGTGTCCTTGTCCTGCTTGCCGTACTGCTGATCCGCCACAGGCACAAACTGATACTCGAAGCCCACCTCCTGGGCAATGGCATCGATGAGATCCACCGCATAGCCCTGGTAGATGGCATTGCCCGTGAGGTTGAGCTCCCGCGCTGTCTCGTTGTACGAGAAGTAGGGCGGCCCGATGCGTGTGGCCACGCGATAAATAATCTTCTTCTGCACCTTGGCATCGACATTGCGCTGCGTTATCTGGCCCCGCGGGTCCCACACGGCGATGCCGATGCCGTCCAGGGGATCGTACACCTCAATGTTGAAGGTTATGCGCTGTCCCTCGTCATCGAACTGCAGGCTGGTGGTGCGAAAGTTGGTGTTGTTCATGCCGGAAGTCTGCCGGAAGAGGGATACCACAGGGTATTAGCAAAGGGTGCTCTGGCTCTGGCTTTGGATTGCTCTAGCACTTACCCCCTTCATGAGGCGCATGAGATAGCGACCCATTTGCCAGGTGCGACCTCCGGCGGCGGCAAAGTCGCAGCTCATTCGCGGCACAACCATCCGGTCGGGGTAGAAGTAGCTGGCATTACGCCACGACTGCCAGAACAGCTGCAGGGCATCGTGGATGAGATCGTGGAGCAGAGTGCGTGGCGAATCATTCGTCTCAAAGACAACATTGTCGCGCTGCGTAACATAGCCATAGGGCAGGGAGTACTAAAAGGGAAAGACTGAGCGGAGTTTGGCCAACTAATGGGGGGTGGGGGGGTAAAAAACTTACAGATGGTGGCTCTGGTGTCAGCAGCAGACGCGCTGCAGTTATGTTCACCGCAAAGGACTCATTGGCTGCCGAAAGCTCCTCCAAATGATCCGTGTAGGTCTCCAGATTGGTGAGGAATATGTGCTGCAGGGAAGATGGATTAAAAATGAAGCAAAAACCAAGAAAAACTACACACATTGAACTGTCCCGTGAGACCAAACTCCGAGGAGGAATTGAGCAGCTCCACCAGCATGCCAGGCGGACAGTCCAGCACCACGCGTCGCTCGCCCCGAATGCTCTTCCACATGACGCGGTAGTCATCGTCCTGCTGGAACTTGCGCACACGCACCACATCATTGTGGACTTCACGCAGCTGTAGAAGATCCTGCAAGCGAGCAGCGGCCTTCGCTGGAGGGAAGCAAAGAGAAGTTAAGTCAGAGGAGAGATCACAGAGAGGATTGCCGCTACTTGCCATCACTTGAATCGTAGACAATTGTAAACTTGCGCCAGCCAAAGTTCTGCACAATATCCGCATAGGCCTTGGACAGTATTACCTGCGAGGGATACATGTTGAGCGTCATTTTATGGTTGGGTCGCTCCGCCACATGCTCCTCGTCCGCCACATCGAATTCTATGTGGGGTATGCCCGTGTTGTTGCAGACCAACGCAACGATATCTGCAGAGAAGAGAGTGAGTGAGAGGGAATGAGATTTGAGAGCCGCTCTCTGGCGAACGCATTTCCGCTATTCGTTTGTGTCGCATATGCGTAGTGAGAGAGGGGAAGAGTTGGGGTGGGAGAGAGATCTTGCAGGGCCTCTCTCTATTGTCAAACAAATTAAAGAGAGAGGCAAACGCATTCCGCTATGCGCCTGTATCACATATTCGCTTAAAGAGAGAAAGCGCGTGAGAGAGCTTTTATAGCTTGCATTTATGTTGTCAAACAAATCGAAGAGCAAAGCGAAAGCTTTCCGGCATTTGCCTTCGCGGCGGAGCTTTCGTTCTTCGTTCTTTCCTGTTCTATTTTGCTTTCATCTTCTACACAAGATCTGCTTATGCTCCCTCCCTTCCCCCTGCTATGCTTACCACTCGACGCCTTTGAACTTGGTCCGAAAATAGCCGCGACACCATTATCTATGAGATCGCAAGCTGAAAGCGAAATTGAAATAAAAAATTCACTCGAATATTGTCCGTTCCATTCCACTCACCCTCCTCCTGCATTGTCACACTGCCATCCTCGGGCTTGAGGCGTTTTATTAGCGGATACAAACGGAAGGTTTGCTCGGACTCTGGACCATTGATGGCATTCACCACAGCCATAAACTCCTTCTCCAGCTCCAGTTCATCGTCGTAGAAGAAGGCACCTGCAGGCGGGAGTATGAATAGTGCTCTAAAAAGGATTCCCCCCCTGTTGGCCCTATGCCTTACCAATGTTGATTTGTTGCTGCTGGCTGTGGCACACGAAAAATGCACTCCACATGCAGCAAAGCAGAACTATGCGGTGCGTCCACATTCCGTTTTGCCCGAGAACGAGAAGCTCTTTGCTCTGGAATTTTCACAGCTATTTTCGAAATATTTCGTTTTCCGTTTTGTTCGCACTCGCACCCGATGGCAATTTCACGGCAACTGAGGAGAGAGAAGAGCTTTCCTTTCCGTTGGATAGATCGCCGGCAAATGGAGAATCCCAGATCAGCTGGGAGGAAAAGCTCCCTCCGGACAGCTGCTCAATCATTTCAATTCATCAGTTGCATGATTATTTCAGTTTATTTGGTTAGAAAAGAAGAAAAAAGCCATCAAAAGGAGAAGCGATTAGCTCCCCAGGGAGCACCATTAACCTTACCCAGGCAGCCGGACACAGTTCAATCAGCCGCAGACTTTCACACACGAACGGGAATGGTAAAGGTGACGGGGTGGACCGACCTGCCTTCTCCATTGAAAAGCGATGAGGTGTCAATTTTGCATGGCAATAAGACGACAGCAGACGCCTCGCAGTCATCATCGTTTGGTGTTCCTATCGTGGGATTTGCATAAAAGGAACATTCAGCATTCAGCCATGCATACTTTTAATGGAAGGAAGGAGCAGTTAGTGGGGGGGATATAGGGGTGGGGTTCGGGGACACACAACATGGAAGTAACAATATGGCCGCTGGTGTCATTTTAGCCTTTTGCCTCTGTTTGCTCAAAGGATTTTGCGAATGCCGAACACGTTTCGTGTTTTAGCCTGCACCTTTTTGTCGAAATTTGAATAATTCCCAGCACCAGCACCAACCCAAGAGTATGGTGAGAGCAGGCGGGTGGAGGTGTTAGGCTAAACCGTTAATATTCATTTGCTGTGGGGGGAGGTGGAGGGATTTCAATATGCCTCCAGCCGGGCAGCTGATGATGATAAATGCTGCCGGGCAATGTTCGAGTCAAGGCAACTATTTCTCCGAATTGAATATTCACCATTAGTAGCAGCTAATGCCATAATCTGGCAGGGGATGGAGAATTTCTTTTTCGATTAAAACTTTTCCACATGGAATAATGAAGTCAGAAAAGAGGAGAGATGAGGGGGAACCAAACCAAGAGTGGTCATAAAAAATGGGCAGAGCCAAAGCTCTTACAAAACATTTTCTATTACACGAAATATTTATGGTTATCATGCGGACCACACGGACACGGAGAAACAGCAACAGAAGCAAAAACATGGCCACGTATGGAATGGAATGGAATGCCCGAGGCCACCATCCTGCATCATTCTGCAGCATGGCAATCCCAGTGCCAGAACCAAAGCACACACACACACACACACAACATAGCACAACAAATCCAGATTCAAGCCACAACAGCAGAAGAATCTCCACAAACTTTTGCTAGGTAATAAGACCCCAGTGGGCAGGGGGAAATCCCCTTACCCATAGCTCTACCCATGGCCATGGCATGGCGTCCCCTTGGCTAGTGCAAAAAACTTTTTAATACTTGCCATAATGTTGCCAAAAGGATTATCCAAAAGAATGACTTTTAATGGAGACAGGAAGTAAGCGCATAACAGACAGAAGTATTAACTGTTTCCTTCCGCTTTCGGGAGGAGTTCTGGGAAGGGGTTTGGGGGGAGTGCTCTAGGGATGTTCGGGTTGCCATGGCGAACCTCTACACACATATTTACAAAACTGTCAGCTCCTAAGCGCTCCTCCTGGCAACGCATTCTCTATGGGTGTGTGTCTCTTGTGTGTGTTTTGTGGCACGTAAGCTGTGCGGAAATATTGCAACATGCTCATAACGTGGCAGACTCCAGTCGAGTTGGGAGTTTAGCAGTCGAGAGTCGTGAGTCTGAGCCTCTGAGTCTAAGGCTCAGTCTCAGTCTTAGTCTCAGTCTGCGTCTCAAGTCCAAAAGGCTTATGATGATTATTTTTATTTGCTGCTTCCCCACTGTCGAATGTCAAGTGTGGCGAGTACGTTTCTTAGACGGGATTTGGGTCTCTGCTTGGTGCTTGGTCAATAATTGCTCCGGGACTCGACACACTTTTGCTCCGCTTCCTTGGGGTTTTTCAATATATTTTCCACTCACTTTACATTTTAATGAGTTCTTGTGCTGAAATATGAGCCACCAAAGGGTGGGGCGAAAGGTGGAGGCCGATGACAACATAATTTTGCCTCGCTGCTTTTTACCCGTGAGAAAAAGGAGCGAATAGCTCCCTGGCTGTGGCCGTATTTTTCTTAGAAAGTATCCTAAGTCGCTTGCTGGCTGCAGGATATTGCTTTAATTGAAATTTATGCTAAATAGATTGACACTAATGAGCAATGGCTCCTGCTCCAGCTACAGCTTCAGCCTGGTTGCTGCTCTTCCAGCTGCTGCCCAGGTAATTCCGCGAGCGAAGAGACTATCTGCATAATTAAATTGCTTTTGCCAGGGAGTGCCGTGGCCTGGCGGCGGGTCTACGAAGTGATGTCAACCGAATTATTATTATTATTTTAGCATTTTTATATGAGAGGCGCCTCCATTTGCATGCGGATCAGGGCCAAGTGCCAACCGAGCTGACAAATGGTTCAAGTTGCGAGGCAACTTCCGCTGAGACTGAGGCTCCGTTGAGTGCTCCAGTTCCGTTCCGGATGTGACTTTTTGGCTTGTGACATGTGTAGTGGAGATCTCGAACCCAGGCAGCATTCATTCTCTCTCTTTATCGCTTTGCTTTTGGTGACGGAAATGAGTTTTTGTCGTAAACTTTTATGGCAATAAACGTCGCTTGTTAGTCCGGAATCGCCGTAGCCCCCCACTGCCGCAACCATTTACGCACTTGGCACAGAAATCATAGCCAACAGGGCCACAGCATAAACATATAAATAGCTCGAGGAGAGGACCCAGCCGTGCCAAGGCTTTTGTCGTTGTTTCTACGGCGTTACACATTTCCAGGCTGCATAAAAATAAGCGCATGGCACATGGAATAGTGTGGGGTTTGAGGTGGGTTTCTGTGACCATTTTCCATTACATTTGCCACGTCACGGCACATTTGCCTCGCATGTTCCAGTCTCTAACCAGAGTCTATGGCAACTCTGGCATCCGTTTCCGGTACAGTACGCTGTCTGTATCCGCTCTCGCTCCCTATCAGTATCCATTTCTTACCTCTCCACCACCACTCGGGGGAACTGTTATCATTTTCTGGCTTTTGTTTTCGTTCCCTTTTGTTTTGCGTGTGGTGGGGGGTGTCCTCTCTCGCGTCTTTTAATTCTTTTAACAATTGCGCTAAAAGTTGTGCATTGAACACTTGGCTGCCTTTCAGCCAACAATAAAAATGGGCACGGAAACGTAGCTGTAAAGTATACCACTCTGGGCACTCCTGCCACACCCCCTCCGCCCCTTGGTGTATGGCAAGAGATAACAGAAATATTGTTTACCGCAATGCAATTGTTGCCAAAGAAAAGCAACGCCCCATGAGTGCTGGCAGGGCGCCTCCCTTTTCATTTGTTTTACTTTATTCACACCCCGTGCCAAAGTTGTCCGAGAGCCGCAGTGGCAGTGGCAGCGGCTGCAGGAGCGTGTACAGCTTCCGTTTCCGCTGAAAAGTTTCATTTCCCACACGCTGACTGAGCCGTTATTGTTGCCTCTCTGATGCTGCTGCTGCTCCTCCGATGATAAAGTACAAAATTAACTTTTGAAATAAACAACAAAAGCAACGACGAGAGCGCCACACTGCCACTTTCACAGCCCACCGCCCACAGCCTGCAGCCTCAGGGGTTCACGTGTGTGTGTGTGTGTGTGTGTGTGTGTGTGTGTGTCTGGACTCCATGGGCATGTAAAAATAACCCAAGAAACGAATACGAGCAATGCATACGCTCATATCATTCACCTGCAACAGCAGTGGCAGCTCTCCCTTACGTGTAGGCACGTAAAAAATATGAAAAATTTCGCAGTAGCAAGCAGTTCATAAAGCGCGGCCGAAATCAAGTCCTGGGTTGCTGCCTCAAGCCTCCAGCCGCTCATAGGCGCATGCATATTTAATGCGAGGGCGTGCCAAATCCACTGCCCTCTCTCTGTGTCTGTGTCTGTGTCTCCGTGTGCCATCAACACGAAAAGCAATCAAATTGCAAAAATTTGTTTCATTTTCTGCGATAACATGACTTGAATTTGATGAATGCCTTGGCAAAGAGGAGTGGCCCCAATCCCAATGCCAGCCAAGAGTGGAGAGCGGGAAGATACTTCGCAGCAAGGATATTGGCAACGAAAGCCAAATGCCAATCTCGGCGCGCTTTTTACGAGCCCAGGAATCGCTGGGGGGAAGAACGAAAAGCACCAAATGGGGTGGGGGAATGCGGAGGAAGTGGAGAAAAAAAATGTGCAGATATGGCCAAATGAAAGAGTTATGAATCCGCAACTTTGTTGCTCCCCAGGCGCTTCTGGCTCCAGCTCAAGCAGCTCCATCTCTCGCTCTCGCTCTGTCGAAGCGAGGCGAATGCCAATGTCGATTACTAATACGCCCTGTTGTCCCGCACTTCCCTACCCGCCCAGCTGCTGCTGCTACCGCCTGGCCAGGGATTAAAATAAATGCGCCACATTTGTATGTGTTGCACGAATGGCGAGCAGAGAGCACATCCTGCAGGAGGGTGTCGTAGTCGTCGTCGGCAGCAGGGGCTTAGCCCGTTTTCCTATTTCCGATAACCGCTATTTATGGTTAGCTGCATTGCCCATCATCTCTCACACCTCACACTCCCCCCTCTCGTATACGACGCCCCCGGGCCAGCAGCATAATATCAAATGCAAAAATATTTTGCGCTCTCTTTTTTAAGGGCCATGGCCAGGGCCAGAACCTGACCAACACCGCGGGGCATTCAGGGGGTGTCATCAACTTGACGGAGTCCGACGCAAACGCACCGAAATTTTGTAATTACGACCACGTCAAAAGCACTCGCCGCACAAACAAAGCCGCGCACCAAGAAATAAATGACCAGAACAAGTGGGCGATGGATGGCACCAGGCGGGAGAGAAAAAAGCAGAAAATTAAAATTAAATTTCAAGCATTAGGCGGCCGCGCACTCTCTTAACTTTCGTGGGCAGCAATTTAGGCATTTTAATGGGCAGTTACAGCGATGTTGTGGAGTTCAAA